AGAGTTGATGCTACCTTGACAGGTTTGAGACTCATCTGCCACTGGGACTCAGCCTTCAAAGGGCCACGCGAACTCATGCATGCAAAGGATGGTCCAACACCAAAACAAAAACTGTGGGCTGAGTTTGGACTCAGTCTAAGGCTGGAGTAACTACACAAACAGACAATAATGCAATTACTCCAGATTTGCACTGCTATAGCTGAGAGCCGAGTCCTCTTGTGCATGGCTTGTACCAGAGAGCACATAGCCCAAGGGAGGATGGATTATTGTTTAAAACAGAGACAGCAGGAGCCCAGGCTCATACTGGGGTATCACATGAGGAGACATTAGACAGCTGAGTTAAATGAGTACATCCCAAGGGCATACAATGAGACTCTGCAAGCCACATGCTGATTGCAACCGCGCTAGCGAACATCGGCAGTAACGCTTCCAAAGCTGCTGGAGGTAAACTGGTGCAAAGCTGACACAAGGCTGGAACCCATCATTACAGAGAGCAAAACAACTGCTAACTGATTGATTTGGCTGATCACTGCCGAACATTAAGGAAAAATATGTTAAGTCACAGATCTGGGATGTTTCGTCTTCTTGTAGCCACTGCAGAGGAGGGAAGCGTGACGGGCCCCTACGCCTGTACATATGGCCACATTGGGAGGAGGGGTTGGGGGGAGCAGTCCACATGGTGTAAGAGAATGACAGGATGGAGCTTTGTTTGTTGCACTGGGTACTCAAGATAGAGGTTTCTCTGTCCCTTCCAGTTTTATACTTACACATACAAAATTATTATATTTGATTTATCTTTGGCCTTTTATCTGGGGAGTGTTGTGTCTACAAGGAGATGAAAATGGGTAAATGGCAGAAGCCCTCTGCAGCACTGCTCATGAAGCTCAGTGTAAAGCAGACTTAATTTCCTTGCAATCCACCTCTGGAACAACGGGACATTTTAATTTTGAAAAAAGCTAGTGAGAGGAAACCCCAATATCCTTCCTTTGTTTTCTTTTACTGCACTGACAGATAGTCTGACTGCATCGTAACAAAGGGGAGGGGAAAAAGCAAAGTCCAGCAAAAGAGCAACAAAACATAATGATCCAGAAGATCCCCATGTTTGAGTTCTCTTCTTGTAGTTTCTCTTCAGAGGAAAACTCTTCTTTACTATATGTTTATAAGTAAAATCCAATTACAAGCATCTGGTAGCATTAAATGAGTTGCGGGACACAAATAGGTTATACTTGTTTGTATAAACGGTATGCCAATGCAACTCCTCTACCTGAGGAAAGAACAAACAGCGTAAATGAAATTGAGATCAGGTCCAGCATCTTCAGATGCAAACTGAGACATTCAAATGATGAATATTGCTCCGAGTGACAAATCACATCTATAGCAACACAGTGCTCATGACTCTGCTGCATCAGCAGATGATCTAAAACCTGGGCTAAACAGGAACCTTCATCAGCACGGGTGACAGCTAGAATTAGCATTGAGAAAACTGATGAAAACATGACAGTAAAGTCCCAAGATGAAAAATAGATTATTCACTGTCAGGGTGAACAATAGGCAAGACATAAAAACAGTTACAAGGTGACAGTGCATGTAGTGGAAGGAGGTAAAGAAGAAAATAGCAGTAGAAGAGAAACTAAACCCCCTTGGGGAAAACACAGTCATCAGGGATAAAAGGATGCAGACAATAACACGAGGGGTGAAAAAAGGGAAAATTGAGGGATTGAGAGTAGAGCTATAGAGCAGAAAGAAATGCTCCATGTGAGAATGACATTGGACAGCCAGGAAAATGAGAACTATCAGTATACAAAGACAGTTATTGTAAGGGAGGTATACTAATATACGGCACCAAATATATCAAATGCAAAAGTGTCTAGGAAAGGACCTGCTCTGACAAAAAAGACCGCAACTGCCTGCCATACCTATTAAGTTTCTTAGATCGAGCAAGCAATGAATACCTTAAGCGGACAAGGAAGATGGCTTCTCAGAGAAGTCATCTTCGTACCTCTGGGCAAGCAGTGACGAAAACAATGTGCCAGCAAATATATATTTACTGATAGGATCTCAAAGGTAACTTCTGCCTAACTTTCTGTTAGTGCATAGCTGCTACTTCTCACTAAGCAGCCCACTTTCTCGCAGGATCCACAGCTCCAGGGAGGCTGGGTAGTCGCAGGGTTCGCAGTGTTTGCAAGCAAACACTTCCCTTGCTGTAGAGCAAAAGTGCTTACAAATCTTTTGTTAAATAAATATGAGAAAGCATACATTCTAGGAAATTGCGTTCTGCTGAGAAACGTTGCACAAGTGAAAAAGATGTTACATTCGGCGAGAAAATTATATGCTGCAAATATTTCATTCAGCTATAATAAGTAGCCTCAGAAGAGGAGGTCAGTAAAATCCTGGTGAAGGATATTTTTATCATCTATTTCATATTCAATTCCAGCATAACTGTTATTACTTTATGTGATACTATAACAACCACAGACAGCTGAAATAAAACAGCAAATGACAATGAACAGGTTCTCCATGGCATTCAGTGCCATAAATTAACATTAGGGGATATGCTTTATTTTACTGTGGGTTTCTTGATATCCTTGAAGCCCATCTAAGGTCAACACAAATTGCTAGGGAGGGGAAGGGGACACAGAAAGCAGGTGGGGAGGTGGGAGAGAAAGGGAAAACGTGACATTTTAAATCCAAAGGAAATTACAATATCTCAGTTTTCTCTCAATCCAAATGGAATTTATTAAACATTTTGGTTTTAAGAAAACAAAGACTTTTTTTTAAATGTCTGCTTTTTAATGTCTTTATGTTCTTAAAATAGGAAATACTGTGATATATGATGATAGCGTATTTCAACTGCTAATTGGTATATGGTATGATGCAATATACATTTTGAAGCTGAATGGCGTTTTAAAACACTGGAACATCTGATTCAATCAGGAACATTAAAAGACATATTTCCATTAGATTTTTTCTGAAATTGATTCGTTCTTCCAGAACATTTCAATGTGGATGAAATGTATTCTTTTCACACAGAAAAATGATCTCAGAAAGCGTCTAGCCTGTTCTACTTGTTGAGTTTCACTGGCTTTATACCAACCTTGCTGTTGATGGCACGAGCTATCTCACTGGCTTCTCCTTTAGACAAAACGGGAGCAATTTCCCAAAGACGCTAACATGGGGCTTGCTGCGAGGGGAAGCTTTACACCCACCCAGTCCTGCAACACAGCTGGCGTGTGGGACATTGCAGGGCCACCGAGCAGGCTCTGCCTCCTCAGGGAGGAGGATTTACAAGTTGGGAGAAGTCAATGTCCTTCAGCACCTTACACGAGGGGACACCTCGCTTAATCAAGGAAATTCAGCCCCGTCAGCCTGTCCCCACTAGGCTGCCTGAGCTGAAGGGCTTTAATTTTCTCATACAAGAAACCAGCTGAAAGAAACAGAGTGCAGGGGGTCCCTGGGCAGAGTTGCCCGAGGAGGCCAGGCAGATGCCCCACCAGTCCCAGCACCACCGTGCTGCATGCTTGGCTGCCAGCAACCCATGCGCCCCATCGGTCCCTGCAGAAGCAGCTTTCTAAACTTTTTTTCTTTTAAAAAAACCTATTCCCCTACCTTGGTGAAGGTCAGGCAATCTTTGTCTTGATCTTTATCCTTTATTTCAAAGTCGTAAAGTGCTTTGCCCTGAGGTGGAGCTTGCGGGAGGGGCTTGATACACTGGATGTAGCTGGCAGGGAAGAAGCCATGGTTCCCATTGAGCTCCCCGTGGTACCAGTTCTCGTCCACCTTCCGCCGCAGTATGATGATGTCCCCCTTGTTAAACTTGAGGTCGCCGGGCTCTTTTCCCTCGTACGTGTAGAGGGCTTTGCCATAGGGAAGCTGAGAAACACTCTGGGGAAAGAAAATATGCAACACCTTCAAGCAAACTTGAGCCAGAACCAATTTCCTTTTTAAAGTCACTCTCAGCTAGCAGCAAACTGACGATCCATGACAAAATTACCCCAATGACTGCAGGTGACTGCTGCATAACGCTATACCCTTGATCTTACAGGAAAACTAGGATGTGTGTGATGGTAAGCCTGAGAAGGTAAGTGTGTTACGTCAGAGGAGGCAGTGCAGTTCCTTTGAAGCTCAGCTGAAACCCGTGGTACCACTTACACCATCAAGAAGCATCTGTTAATTTGCAAAATATCCTACGTAAGCAGGACTATGTGTTTAAACAAGTAAAACTTGACATGTCTAAAGGTAAAATATTATACATTTTGACCTTCAGGGTTGCCTTGGTTTCTGAGGCTCAGAAGATAAACAAAACAAAACAAGCTTGAAAATTCACATGGTTCTAAAAGTTGGCAAGTTGAAAATTTTTCATTGTGTTTGTTTGAGCAACTCCAAACATTTTTGAGTTTGAAGCTTTTAGTTTAGCTTTTGATTCTGTAACCAAATACTCCTACTTCTTTCAAAATCCCCAAGCCTCACGCTGCTCACTGAGGGCTACTGTAAACAGTTATAATATTCTTTGTTGCTTATGAATTAATGTCCCTGCAGAAAAGCAGAATAGGCAGAATGCTTCAAATCTTTCTTTTAGAACTAAAAACAGCTCTGAGGCTTTCACTCTCATTAAAAGCAAGAAACAAACTTTAAAAAAATCGCAGCACAAGAGAAAAAAAGACTGAAAAGTGATTAGTTTGGTGTGATAGAAAAGAGAAACCTATTTGATGGGAACGACCTGATTGTGAAGAATTCTTCCCAGAGTTCACTTTGGCCCAGAGCAAGATAGTCTCACCCAGGCTGCGACCACACAGACAACTTTTTGGTGGAAGTATGGGTTTATGCAGCCTTTGCCCTTGCCCTCCCTGGATACTTGCTCCCCTCCTC